CCCTCTCCTCCTTTATTGACATTCCAAAGGGACTACTTCCTCCTTAAAACACTAGCCTATTCCTCAGTCACTCCTACTACCTTCTCTCCTTCCCTTGACATCACACTGTACAAACCAGGGAAGAGGTGAAGTATTGTCTTGGCAGGTAGAGACCTAAAAACAATGTACAACGATGACTGCGCATCGCCACTTCTGGATCTGGAAAGCGTTGTCATGCTTGAAGGATCGCGGGTGGGACTTAAAATTGGAAAGAGTCGAACCATGAGATAGGAACATTCCCCACCTCAAGGCCGGAATTGCAAACTCCAAATCTTATCTTTTCTCTCCCTTTGATTCGGTTTCTGAGTGCAGGCTGAAATGGTAGTGGTATACTGGCAATGTCAGGCAGGTTAGAAATCTGGGGGTATTTCCCTAACCAACCCATTTAGACATGTTGTGACACCTCTGGGCCTGGTGGGATTTGAACCTGGGCCTCCTGGCTCAGAGGTAGGGACACTACTACGGCACCACAGAAGTCCTTGACTCACATTCCTGAGACATGGTTTCAAATTGTAGCAGCTGGTGAAATTTAAATTCAATCCATTAAATGTGAAATTGAACCATCTGCCCCTCTTGAGGGTTGGATTATGAGGAGAGACTGAGTAGGCTGGAATTATACTCATTGGAATTCAGAAGAATGAGGAGAAATCTTATAGAAACATAAGATTATGAAGGGAATAGATAAGGTGGAGGTAGGGAGGCTGTTTCCGCTAGCAGGTAAGACTAGGACTAGGGGGCATAGCCTCAAAAAAGGGAAGCAGATGTAGGACTGAGGTCAGGAGGAACTTCTTCACCCAAAGGGTTGTGAATCTGTGGAATTCCCTGCCCAGTGAAGCGGTTGAAGCTACCTCGCTGAATGTTTTTAAGGCAAGGCTAGATAAATTTTTGAACAGTAAAGGAATTAAGGGTTATGGTGAGTGGGCGGGTAAGTGGAGCTGAGTCTCAAAAAGATCAGCCACGATCTTATTAAATGGCGGGGCAGGCTCAAGGGGCCAGATGGCCTACTCCTGCTCCTAGTTCTTATGCAGCTGCATTTGGTGCCCAGGTGCCCTTGGGCAGGAACTGCACACTGACCACCAATTCTCAAGGCTTTCAGAGAGAGGTGGGCATCGCAGGGTATACAGTGCTTTATCTCCCCACTCCATTGGCATTTTGTCCCTTCACGCTCTCCCTAACTCCTCCCCTCACCATCAATGGCTTGCTTTGCCCATAATGGGCTCTGCTTGTAAATACGCAGATAATACACAGATTTTTTTCTTTTTTTAAAACTGGTGATGGTGGTTTCAAAAAAAAATAAATAAATAAATAAAGCAGATCCAGGTGGTCTTCTCATGGCACAGTGGTAGTGCCCCTACCCGTGGACCGAGTGGCCTAGGTTCAAGTCCCACCTGCTGCAGAGATGTGTAATACTATCTTTCAACAGGTTGATTTGGGAAAAATTGGTAAAGCAGCTCTCCAGAGCCAACTTGGGTCTGTCTGTCCCCCAAAAAAACAAAAAAAAAAAAAAATAAAAAAGGTGAAATTGAACCATCTGCCCCTGTTTTGTGGTTATGCCTGTGCCCAGGTGCCCTCAGAGATAGAGAGAGTACACGCTGTCTACTGATACTCTTGATGCCCGGGAAGGTGGGCACTGCAGGAGCTGGAGTGCCTTATATTCCCTTCCAAATGCATCTTGATTGAGCCAACCCGCACCCTCTTCTGCACCTTCGATGATCTGTGTGGCCCTTCACTGGCTTTGCATGTAAATTAATCAACTGGAAAACATGGTGATTTACTGGCAGCTACTAGTTAAAAACAAAAGCAGATGAAAAAAAATTACAGGTGATTTGGTGATGGGATATAAAACACATTCATACCTGCATAAAAATCACTTCTGGGTATCAATCTAGAATTGGAAGCTAGGCTCATTGATGGTGAAGTGAAACCACTGATGCTTGTAAAAGCTCATCTGGATCGCTAATGTTCTTTAGGGAAAGAAATCTGCCATCTTTACCCAGCCTGCCCTACACATGACTACAGATCCCATTAGCAATGTGGTTGACTCTTAATGCTCCCTGAAATGTTCAAGTGAGCCACTTAGTTTAAAGGCAATTCGGGACAGACAGCAAATACTGGTCTTGCCCATGACTCCCACTGTTCAAAAACAGAGAATCTAAAGCACATTTCTGCTTGCAATGCTTCTGAACAGTGAACTTTGCCAAAGTGACGCAGTCCTCAAATGTCGAATGAGCAGCTCAGCAGTTAACCCTGCTGCCTCACAGCGCCAGGGACCCACATTCCATTCCACCCTCGGGTGACTGTCTGTGGAGTTTGCACGTTCTCCCTGTGTCTGCGTAGGTTTCCTCCGGGTGCTCCGGTTTCCTGCCACAGTCCAAAAGATGTGGTTAGGTGGATTGGGTATGCCAAGCTGCCTGTAGTGTCCAGGGATGAGCAGATTTGGTGGGTTGGTCACAGGAAATGCAGGGTTACAGGGATAGGGTCTGGGTGGGATGCTGTGTGGATCCGATGGGCCAAAGAGCCTGCTTCTACACTGTTGGGATTCTACGGTGACCATGCTGGCAGCTGACCTCTCAGGCTAACCTTGTCATTTGCTGCTTCTTTTCCCTCACTTCTCCCACCCCGATCCCCAGGACCAACTCAGTGAAGGAGCCATTCTGCGAGACACCCTGGGTTCGAACAGCAGTGCTGGCAGGATCACTGGTAGCTGGCACCAAGTTCTGTATGGATCACTTCAAGACCAACAACACTGTCAGCTGAATGGGAGCACTGGCTTTTAACGCAAGGGAAGAGGACGCAAGGCAGAGAGGAAGCTCAAAGAACAGTATTTATCTTTATAACTGATCTGAGATAGTATTAATTTCAACATTACAGAGTATGATGGACCAACTTGGTTCACACTGTAATTCACAAAGCAAGGCCAAATCTAGTACTAAATGAATTAAAAGTGTTGGGAATTTTTAAGAGTTTAATTGTTTTGCTGACAAAAAGTCAGCTTTAAAGGGAGGAGTTGAACCATAATAAATAAAGTAAAATAATATGCAAACATTCTACAGACATTTATAAAATTCTTATTCCCAGTTCACTTCTTAAGTACCCATTGCATGGAATCCATGATTCACAACATAACGCGTCCAAAACAGTTACCTGTACACAGGACTTGAGGTGCAGATTAAGCCCAGATTTGGTGGAGTGAGCAAAATAAAGTTTATCTTCAGGAAAATAAAGTGTGGGGATTGGGGAGCACCTGTGGAGAGCGGATTTTCCCCAATCTGTATCAGTGAGCTGACAAACTCCAAGGAAAAATTCAAGCAGCAACTAGTTTAGTTTGGGATTGTGTTCGGCATAGACTGTTTGGACCGAATGATCTGTTTCCCTGCTGTATGACTATGCCAATTGCAGATAAACACAAAGAAAGCAAGGACTTGTATTCACACCTTGTCCTTGCTCCCTTAGACAGGTCTGACACTAGCCACGGGAATTGCAAAGTTACAGGGATAGGGTCAGTGTAGATCCGACGGGCCAAACTGCCTGCTCCCACACTCTAGGGATTCAATGACACTATAGTGACTGTGGTTTAATTCTGAAGTGCACACAAGCACTCTCAGAGAGACAAACTCAACAGCCAATTTGCACATAGCAAGATTCCACATATAGCCAAACACCTGATAGTTTTTCTTTTTTGGGGGGGCGCGGTGGGGGGGTGGGGGAATAGTCCAAACGTTTTGGTGATAAAACTGATTTTACAACTAAACCATTGCAACAACAAAAAAAAAAAAAAAAAAAAAAAAAAAACAAAACCTTCACAGCACAAGCCAGATGTTAGAGAGGGGGTGGGATTTGGGGTTGAATTAACAGACAGCAGGAAACACAACCACTAAGCCATCGGGCCAACAGCTGTGTCAGTAACGTCCCAAAATCTGCTGTGGGAACCTGCTCTGGCTGGGCGTGATTCCAGTCTCACCCCAACGTGGCTGACTCTTAGTCCCTCTCTGAAATGGTCTACCAAAGACACTGGGTTAACAAAAACCATCATCGATGGCTTAGGAAGGTTTTCACCCATCACCTTCTCAATGCAACCAGTTATTGGCTCTACAGAAATGCCCATAATAAAATCTCATGGTGGGGCCAACATTAACAAACAAGTCCAGGAGCAGGCCTCATGGCCCCTTGAGCCTGTTCCATCAGTCACAATGATCATGGCTGACCTGATGAAGCTCCAAACTCCACTTTCTTGTTTACTCTGCACCACACTTGGCTCCTTGCCGATTTGTCACCTTGGAAATGACCCAGCATCCACAGCTCTCCGGGGAAGAGAATTCCAAGACCCTTGCAACTCTCTGAGAGGAGGAATTCCTCACCTTCGCATCCTGTAGTTCTAGACTCCCCAGCACGGGGAAAACAGCCTCCGACCTGTCAAAACCCCCGGAATCTTATGTTTCAATCAGATCACCTCTCAGTCTCCTAAACTCCAAAGGGCATAGGCCCAACTCCCCCCATGCAAGGAAAACACTCAAGGTTGAAACTAAATGATGCTTCATTTTAAATAAGAGTTTAACAGTCAGAACCGGTCAGCAGAACGGTCTAACAGAGTCAGACAGCACTTTGACCCAACCAGTCTGCACCGAACGTAATCCCAAACTAAACTAGTCCCACCTGCCTGCTCCTGGCCTATATCCCCCCCAAACTTTTCCTATTCATGTACAATAAGAATATACTGATTTCATGGGACTGAGTAACAAACACGATTTGTAGGAATGCATGAGCAAGAATAGGCCATTCAGCCCTTCGAGCCTGCTTCACTATCGATTGGATCATGGCTGACCCAATTGCAGTATCGACCCTACTTTCCAGTCCAATGGTTTTAATGGGAGTGCTGGGGCTTACCCTCCCAGACATTTGAAGTTTGTGAAGCTGCAACTTGATGTTCCAGCCAAGTCAAGCAAGCATTCGTACAAGAATTGTGCAATAACAGTTTGGGTTTAATTTTGACAGTAGGTGACGCCCCTCAGGTTATACACAGATAAAATCCAGCAGTAATGGCCACTCACTATATTCGGCCTGGCCAGAACTGAAGGAGTTTAAAATTAAAACACTGACATTTATGCATTCAGGCCTCAGTGCAGAAAGGCCTTGGAGGAAGCGGAATTCTTTTGCATGTTGAAAATCAAATGTTTAAGAAAAAGTCCCACACCATCATATCCTAACGGTACAGATATCAAAAACAGTGTGCAGAGTGCCCAGTTGGTGGCCTAATTCAGGACCAGTTCCTGGCACACTCTTAGTTCACCCAACATTGGCAATATTCTGGATCAGGCTGGAGCAGATCCAAGGACTCTCTTCCACATCCCAAACCAGACATTACCTCCCAATCCCAAACAGGGAAAAAAAAAAAGCCCCCCCCTCCCCTCCCAACCAGGTCCCCCAAGCCCAAAAACAGTCCTTTCTCTCTCTCTATTAGACAATCATTTCTAGATGCCTGGCGTATTCGATGACTTGCTTGGCCAGTTCTGTGGATGGGATCGTGACCTCCTCTGGTTTCTGCTGCTGACTGGTAAACGAGTAATAGTTATCAGGACCCAGGAGCCAGCCACGCTGCAGGAGAAAGAGACACACAAGGAGACATGAGTAAGAGAGCTGGCATCATTCTGCATGGCACATAATACCACTGATTGCAGAGGATCAGAACCTCTTGTAGGGTCTCGGAACATTTCAGCTTACAAAAAGATATCATTTCAGACCTTCCTCTAATATCCATCAAGTCTTGTTCCAAAAGCAGTTTATATTCATATAGCGCCTTTAAGGCAATGAAACATCCCAAAGCAAAAACTGAAATTATTTTTCAGATACGTCTCCAATCGGTGCAACAGAGGGCCGAAGGGCCTGTACTGCGCTGTAATGTTCTATGTTCTAAGGGACAAGATACAGGAGGACGAGAATAGATCCTTGGGTGGCCCAAAGGTAATGGTGCATGAAGTAGGGGGTAGGGAGGGGGAAGCTGTGAAGAGAAGCCATTCCCTGATATAGTTAAATAGATACAGATGGAGCCCATGAGTGATCGCCACCCCATTTAACTGGATGACAGTGAGATGCATCAGAAGTGGGATGGCCAACCATGTGAAGGCTACAGACTTGCAAAAATGTTCATGGATGGAAAGCTTACCCTGGTCACAGTCACACACCATGCTATTTGTGATTTCGAATAGGGCAATTTCACTACTTACACCCGATTGGAGGGTTTCAAACACAGGCCTTCTGGGAAAGGGACACTGATATGGGAGGTGATGACATAATCATGGACTTTGGCAAAGACAGGATGACAACAGTGCGCATGAACAGAGGGTGTAGTGATCGTAACAAGGTCAGCCAGGTTCACTTCATAGAATAGGAGTTCCCTGATTGGACCAGATCAACAGCCCCAATCAGGGAGCCCTGGCTAACGGGTATAAACACGAATGTTAGTTTCTGTTCACTCAGAGCTGGTTATGCAAGTGTAAATAAAGGGTGACTTGGTGATGAGATATGGGCCTCTGTGGGATTATTTCAGAGGGATCAATGCTTTTTTAAAATGACAAAAAAAAGAAGCACAATGACAGCATAAATAAAAAAAAAAAAACCGAGGGCTAGAGCTGAATAGGGAATTACTAATACTAGCCAACAAGGAACCAGGAAGGGAAGTCAGGTGGTCAACTGTTTAATAGGGACATTGTTTATTCAACAGACATCAGGTTTCAGCAACAAGAACCTAGTACCCTCTGCTCCTCTTGCATTCCAAACCATTTAATATCCCAAAGCCCAGTCCTTCAACATCTTAACTACTCCGCACACCTCCCACGTTTCATAGTCTCGTGGTCTTGCATATTTCTGTTTGCCCTTTAATGTCCCACACAGTCCAATCCCCGTCCCTATCCATAACATAGCTGATCCCCACACAATTCCCTCCCCTGCCAGGAGACAGAGACCCAGCATTTAATTCAACAGGAATGCTCCCATTTTAGACCAATAGGGTTGCACCAATCTTTACTATCAAATTAGACCATTCAACCCCAGCTACCTGTACACAATTGTCTCAGTGATATATAAATTGGGATGGAACGAGTATTTTGTAAGAGGAACGTGATAACATTAATTGTGGCAGATGTGCATTCAATAAAAAGTCAGGGAGTTAAATGAAATCTACTGTAAAGACTAATCCTTATTTCCTCACTTCCCTCTACTGTTCAATAGCCTAGACTACTTTATCTCTCTTCTTTACCCTTCAATTTATCACCTATTCTAATCCCAGTCTCTGCTTGTCCCTGCACATTAACACACTATCACCAGCTCAACCATTTCCATTTAACAAATCTCATACGGCTGTAGTCATAATTTCTGGCTGCAATTCACCTCAGACCGATTTTCCATTCTGGCCTAGGTTGAGCCATTTGATCAACATGGTGTTCACTTCCAGTACAAATCAGAAGCACCGATTAGCTCAGGAAGATATTATCTCTTATGAACTAATAACCTCTGCAACATGTGTTGCGAGCCGTCGACACTGGAACCAGTCACTCAATGTTGCATTTGCCATCCACGGCCTGCACAATTGCTCTGTAGCAGTCAAACAGAATGGCAGGTACTAACCTTCTTGGCATATTCCGTCATTTTCTTGGGTGAGGTGAAAAACAGTGTCCTTGAAGCTTCGTTGAATAATATATTCTCATAAGCCTTCTCGATGCAGCCGGCAATTTCGTCCCTGAGGTAAAATTAAAGTTCATTAAGATCGACAGAAGGAAAAAAAATAATCATGGGACACATTATGGCACAAAGATGGGCAAGACAGTAAATTGTGAAGTTGATATGAGGCTGCAAGATAGAGATAGGTTGAGAGTGGGCAAAGGTCCAGCAAATGGAGTTTGATTTATCGAAATGACGTGTTGCACTTTGGTAAGACAAGCCAGGGCAGAACTTATACACTTAATGATAGGGGTCTGGGGAGCGTTGTTGATGTGATAATATTGTCACTTAAGCCGTAGCAATCACAAAACGTTTGGAGTACCAGAGGGTTACAAGCTTCAGTAAATGATTCTTAACAACTTTCTCCAAAATCTCTCTGGATGTTGCTCCCCACTGCCTGTAAGAACCTGTGTTTGAATTTACCTTTTTGCCAAGGCGTGTGTTTTTGAGATGTTACTATATTGGAACAGTTAATTAGTTAAGTTACTGTAGCATATTCAGTTAAGTTTTCCATTAGTTATTCTAAATTCTGCTTTCTTTTGTTCGAGTTTTAACTGTAGTGCTGAAATAATTTGCTTAAAGCAGTGGTTTGACCAGTTGTATCGCACCTAAAACACCCACTTCACATCTACCTTTAAAATAAGTTACGGTCTAGGCTACCTTCTTAAAATATTTTGAGGGAGTCTGGCCTGGTCTATAACAGAATAGGGGCTCTTGTCCATTCTATAATTCCAACTTGGGTTTAGGCTTGTTGAACTCAAAGGCAGCGAGGGGTAGGTGTTAGTACCTTTTGTTTCGGGGGTTGAACTCAGATGGTTAAAACAGTGCTTTGTGTAGTAGTTGCTCTTTTGGTCACTAAGAGTTTTCTGGGGGTGGAAAAAGTGACTTGGGGAGTTTTGCAAAAGGTGAGCAAGGCAAAGCTGTTGAAATTGGCAGACAAGCTGGAGTTGGGGTCACCTTCGTCTGTCAGGAAAGGAAAAGTAATTACAGCAACTTGACATTTAAATTTGCTGGAAATGGGGAGCTGAAACAGTTTGAATTATGGTTAAAAAGCAGAGAAAAGAGAAAAAGGACAGAATTGCCCTGGCAGAAGAAAACAGGAGAAAGGCCCTAGCAGAAGAAAAAAATTCACAAGTTGGCAATTAGACAGGAAAGTCAAGTTAAAATGATGGAAGTGAAGTAAAAGTAAGCTTAGTGAGGATGAGCAAGCCCATCGTAGCCAAAGGCCTGGTGGAGATCTGTTTAAATATGTCCAAGCATTGCCTAAATTCGATGAGAAGGATGTAGAAGCCCTTTTTATTCCATTTGAGAAAGTGGCTAAATAAATGAAGTGGCTGGGGACCATGTGGGTATTGTTGATCTGAACAAAGTCAGCACGTAGAGTTAGTGAGATATTTACATCATTATCAGAGGTGGTATCTGGGCAGTTCGGGGAAGTGAAAAAAGCCATCTGAAGGGCATATGAGCTAGTGCCTGAAGCCTACAGACAACATTTCAGGAATCAAAGGACGGGCCCTGGTCAAACATACATTGAGCTTGAAAGGATCAAACAAAATAATTTTGATAGTTAGATAAGGGCATTGAAAATACAAACATACGGCACTCTTAGAGAGACAATTAATTTGGAGGAGTTCAAAAATTCACTTCCTGGAGTAGTGAAAACTCGTGGACAAGCAGTGCATTAAAACTGCAAGATTAGCAGCTTAAATGGCAAATGGTTATGCGTTGGTTCATAAATCAAAGTTTGGCTTCCAACATCAACTTCAATCTGAGAGGGTTAGAAATAAGGGAAAAGAGAAATCCTAAGATGGTAACAGAAAAGGAGATCTCGTTGAAAATAACAGATAGTTAATCACAGGGTAAAAAGGAAACCCATGAAGGGGAAAGAGAAGTTTAAAAGCTCCGGTGTTTTCACTGTAATAAAGTAGGCCACTTGAAATCAGTGTTGGTGGTTTAGAAAAACACCGGGAAGATGGATGTAGGAAAACAGGATAAGCCAGTGAATTTTGTTGAAGTGGTAAAGGAAAGCACAGTAGAAGCTAAAAAGCTGCATCAGAATGCACAATCTGGTCAGGGGTTGGTTGAGAAGGAAGTAACAGATCTCCTTAAACCATTTACTCGTGAAGGTGAGGTTTACATAGGCCAAGAGGGGCAGGTAAAGAAGTTACAGTATTAAAAGTTAAGGGATCATGTCAGTCTTTGATGTTGAGAGATGAGGAGATATGTAATTCAGAAGGACTATTACCAGAGAAAGTGCGAGCAACGTGGAATTCACAGTGAGACAAGAAGTGCTCCATTATGTAAAGTGAGGTTGGAGTGTTCCGTAAGAAGTGGAGAAGTGGTGGTCCAAGTACTGGAGAAACTCTCGGCTCCAGGAATACAATTTGCTCTTGGTAACAATGTAGCTGGATCACAGGTGGGAGTGATATCTACTGTGGTTGAAAGGCCGGTGGGAAAAAAAAAAAAAATCAGGCAACTGAGGTATTACAGGAAGTATATCCTGTGACTTTCCCTGACTGCGAGATAACAAGGTCACAAAGCCATTGGTCAAACAGGAGGTAAAATCAAAGAGTAAAGATAAGGAAGTTGAAGCAGAATTATCAGAGACCATGTTTGATCGAATGGCTGAGACTAAACAAGAACAGGTGGAGGACAAAGTGGATATTTTTAGTTCAGAGAAATTGACTGAGCTACAACAGAAAGATAAAAAAACTGAAGCAATTGTATTGAAAAGCGTATACAGAAGAAGGAGTGTTTATTCCCAAATGTTACTATCTTAAAAATGATGTCTTGATGAGGAAATGGAGACAAATCACATATTCAGGAAGGTAAGAAATGGACATAAGTTCAAGTTGTATTACCAGTGAGTTATAGAAAGGGGGTGTTATAGGTAGCACAGGAGTTATCAGTAGGTGGTCATTAAGGGGCAAGAAAAACAAGCCAAAAATACAAGAACATTTTTACTGGCCTGGACTGCATAAAGATGTAGTTGAATTTTGCCAGACATGTCGTATGTGTCGGGTATTTGGAAAACCTCAAGCAGTAATGAAACCAGCACCTTTAATACCCATTCCTGCATGTGAGGAACCTTTGACAAGGGTCTTAATTGATTGCGCAGGATCCCTGCCTAAAACAAAAACTGGGAATCAGCATTTGTTGACAATACTGGATATGTCTACTACATTACCAGAGGCCATTCCATTACGCAATATAACAGCTAAAAGGATTGTAGGAGAGTTACTCAAATTTTTTGCTAGGTACAGATTATCCACAGAGACACAATCAGATCAAGGGTCAAATTTTACATCAAAATTATTCAGGGAAGTTATGAATAGCTTAGAAATAAAACAATGCAAATTCATTGCGTACCAACCTGAATTACAGGGAATGTTAGAAAGATGGCATCAAACTTTAAAAACCACGTTAAGGTCAAGACTATCCAGATGACCAGGATAAAAGAATTCTGTTCGTACTTTTTGCAACTAGAGATGCACCAAATGAATCTACCAAATTCAGTCCATTGGATTAGTTTGGGCATGAGGTAACAGGACCACTGAAATTAATTAAACTGAAACTAGTGAGTCAGAGCTCAGAGACTGCATATTTGGACTGTGTCAAATTTTAGGGAACAATTAAATAGTGGGGCGTTGGCTAGACAGCTTTTAAAAGTAGCACAGCATATGAAGAAACAGGAAGCATACAAGAAATGAAAAACTCACAATTTTGCTCATGGGGATAAAGTGTTAGTGTTACTCTCCATGAGAGATGAATCTTTAAAAGCAAGGTTTAGTGGACCTTATCAAACCAAAAAGGAGATTGAGAGTGAGGTGAACTATTTGACAAGGACTCCAGATAGAAAGAAGTTTCAGAGTGTGTCATGTCAAATGTGCAACCAGTATTTTGATAGAGAAGAAAAACAAAAGAAGAATGTGTTACTGGTTACAACACAGAGAGTGAAGAACCAAGTTCAGAGGAATCGGAATAGGACATTCTTCAAATTAAGTTGGACAATAAGGAAGTTCTCAAAAACTGGGATAAATTAGACTTACCTTCCAGAGGAAAAAAAAAACCAAATGTTCTGAAAGAGTTATTACTATCGCATGGGGAGATATGTGGGAATAAGCTGGAAAGTACTCATTTAGTTATGCATGATGTAGATATAGAAAATGCTGTTCCAATTAAGCATCATTTTTATAGACTTAACCTGCTAAGGTTGGCACAGCTTCAAAAAGTGATTGAATACATGCTCCAAGACAACATAATTGAAATGAGATGCAGTGACTGGAACTGACCCATAGTAATGGTGCCAAAACCAGCTGGTACCCAACAATTGTGTGTAGGCTATTGCAAAGTCAATGCAGTTACACAGTCTGATTCATATCCAATTCCACATTTGGAAGACTGTATTGAGAAGTTAGGACAAGCAACTTAAATTTCCAAGTTGGACTTCCTCAGAGGATACTAGCAGATACCTTTATCAGAAAGGGTGAAGAAAATTTTTGGCTTTCGTGACACTGAATGGGCTGTATCAATTTAAAGTCATGCCATTTGGTATGAAAAATGCACCAGCCACATTTCAAAGGCTGACCAATAAAGTCATTTCTGGATTACCCATTTGTGCAGTGTGTGTATAATTGCTGACCTGGTGATTTTTAGTCACACATGGAAGGAATAGTTGATTAACTTCAGAAGGCAGGCTTGGTAATAAATCCAACTAAGAGCAAGCTCATCAAAGCCCAAGTCATGTTGCTGGGCCATGTTATCAGACATGGACAGATCACCCCATGGAATGTGAAAACAAAGGTTACAGGGGAGTTTCCCATAACATTGAAGAGACCAGTACTACCATTCCTGGGATTGGGTGGGTTTTATCGGAAGTTCATACTGAATTTTAGCAGTGTGGTTGTTCCACCGACTGAAGAAATGCAGAAAATTTCAGTGGACGGCAGACTGTCTGAAGGCATCTGATAGCCTGAAAGCGGTGTTAACCACTGCCCCAGTGTTAGCCACACCTAGTTA